AGAATACACATAAACTGGTCAGCCTGTATGACTACTTAAATAAGCCAGAGCAGAAGCTCTTATTCTGCTGTGGCGCTGCTGCTTCTGGCTAAGTTAGACTGAGTCCCTGTTTTCATCAGCTTTCTGATGGCTTCTTGATTTAAACTCTGCTTGGGCTACCCCTCTCCCTGTTTTCTTCTCTGTATGCCTTGCAATAGGAAGAGAGGACCTGTCACTGCAGTATGAGCTGGTAGTATGGGTAGCTTGGATTGCTCTAGTTCTCCCTCTCCCCTCTGCTTTGCAGTGGAATCTGCTCATCTAGGTTCTCTGGGAAGGTGGCTGGTGCTGCTAAGCCCACAGAAGTGTAAGGGGGCACAACAGGGAGGCCCTGTCTACAAATTAGTTGATTGAAGTCATCCAAGAGACCAAAGAGACAACAGTGCTGAGCTCTGCTTTTCACATCTAGTTGACACTGACCTCTTCATCCAGCAACAGGCAAGGGGCTGCTCCAAAGCAGCTGGTGTTGCACAACTGCAAATGATGCAGAATGACGGAGCCAGTTGGTGTGGTGGTTTTGAGGACAAAAACATCCTCTATGCAGGGTGTGCTCTTCCAGCATGGTGTGAATTTGTCATATGGAGAGTTTTACAGACGGCTGCTTTTAGTGTGGGGCTGCTAGAAAGCATCTTTCCTTTGGCATAACAGGAGTGTGATTCATGTATTGGGGAAGAAGGAGGATTCATCCACTCTACTGCCTAGTCCAGATAGGATGGTTGGGATGCAACCACCCGGTCCCCGACACAGGTGACCCTCTGCTATAATCCGAATGTTTGAGGGGGGGTTGCTGTTTGTTGGTTTGTTTGGTATTTTCACTTGGGAAAATGGCTCTTGGGGCAGTCTCTGAAAGTATGTGATTGAGGAAAGTACTGAAAGGCAGAGTGTTCTCTACATAGCTATGGTGTTCTCTACACAGCTATGATGTTCTCTAAGTTACTAGCACTCAAGAAAGATTTTAGAGTCATAGTGAATTTTAATATGAGTTTTGTTTCCCTATGAAAATACAACTTGCTGTTCATCAGGAGCCAAAAAAACAAAGGGAAGATTAAGAATTATTAGGAGAGAAATAGTAAATGGAATCAAACCATGAGTACTAGTATAAATCCTACATGAGCTTCATCTTGTGTACCTCCAATAGTAGAGAACTCTCAAACTGTTCTGTTCATCTGAAAAAAAAAAAGTAATAATGAAAATATAGAGAACCTATAGAGAAAATTGGAATAACTGAGGCAGATAAATGTCTATTAAAAAGCCACAAAACAGGCTAGGAATCTTCAATCAGGAAGAGAAAAGATGAAGTAGTAGAGGTTTACAAAATAAGTGAAAGGGGAAGAGAAATAACAAATGATTTTTTTTTTCCCCCCGGGGCAATGGAAGACATCCATCTCTGTAAGGTACGTAGCAGGGGCCACTTTCAAACCTATGTGAATAGAGGCATTTCTTTATCCAATATGTGTGAGCTCACTGTGTGAGCTTTCTCATGACGAGTCCTCTTGGGGATTATATAAACTCTCCTCTATGATCAAAAAGTGAATTTACTGTTAAAAATTGAGTAGGGAACTCAATAGCGGAGACCATCGTTGTGTGTGTCATTGCTATGACTGGTTCACCTGCAACTTGCACACTGTATGCTCTGCCGGTCTTGCAGTCTCCCTGGCTCAGAAAGGACAGGATGGAACTGGAAAAGGTTCAGAGCAGAGCAAGAAGGATGATCAAAGGCCTGGGGCAGCATCTGTATGAGGCATGGCTGACCGGAACATTTTGGTCAGAAAGAAGTTGAGAAGGGGCATGATTGTTCACTGCTCTTCACATCAAAGGAAGCCATCAAGTTGCAGGTACAAAGGTTATTAAAGGAGGTGGGTTTTCCTACACTGGATAGTTGAGCTGTAGGACTCTCCTCTGCAGGATGCTGTTGATACATAAGGTTGCAGTGGATTCAAAGCAAGGCCAGGTGAGTCCCTGCAAAAGAAATCCATGAAAGGTTTGTAAGTACATGGAAATTATGCATGGCTTAGGAGGTCCCAGAGCAACAAATGAATAAGGGCTGGAAAAATGGGCAAGGAAATAGCATGCATGGTTATCCTGTGACTATATTCTTCCACATTTATCCTCTGGGGGCAGTGTTGGTGGTAGGGTATGACTCTACACAGTCTTAGCCTGACCCGGTACAGGTCTCGGCTGTGCTCTCGTGAAATAAGATGTGCTAGAGATACATTGCTTCAAACAGCACATAAAGTCATGGAGAAAAAAAAATCCATCAAAAAAGGTCCTATTTCTGACTCAGGAAGGTTTTTTTTAATCTACAGATCCCTCAATACTGGAGAGTAAACCTGGGAAATATCACTGAATAGGATGAAAGCTGCTAGTGGCAATCAAATGAGACAGAACCTCATGACTGCTGCAGCAGGACAGAATTGCTTTGGCTCAGTGTAAGGTTGCACCCTGTCCCCAAGGGGACTAGTGGTCATCTGATGTGCCAAAGTGAATGTTTTCTTTGGTTGCCCAAAGCAGTAACCTGGATTAAGTCTGTTTATGTGAATGCTGAAAGCATCTGCATTATTCCCTGGTCTGGATCCTCAGGTCACAAACTGCTCCTCTGTGAGGGCGTCTCTGGGAAGGAGATTGTTACCAGCCTGGTAGAAGAGTCAATATCCTGCTCCAAGACATGGATGAGAAACAGCTTCCGAGGCCAGAAGCAGTTCCTAAGAAGGCTGGTTTCCAAGCAGCCGCAGAAGTCCTTTTTTGGTCTATGCTTCTTTAGCCATGTAGTCCATGAACCTCTGAACATCGGATATTCTGGGCTTGATACTGAGATTAGAATAGAGGATAACAAAACTCTGCTTCCAGACACCCACAGGGATGGACCCCCACTCCATCTGTGATGGAGAAGGCCCCAGTGGGGAGCTACAATTCTGTCCTCCTCCTGGTGCTGCCAACCAATGTAAGAGGAGACACGTAACGCTTCGTCCCATTCGTCAGAGAGCCTTGGCAGTTTAAACATACAGAATCTCTTGCAGATTACTCGGGATCAGCTCAGAAGTCCCCCAACTTTGTCTGCAGGCGAACTTGCTGAGTGGCAGTTTCAGAGTGAGGTTCGAGCCCAGCTCACCCTGACCTTTGTGCTCCAGGAAGAAGGATAAAGAAAGTTCTTTAAAGCTAACCCAACACAGAGGCCTGCAACTTCAGCTAAAGATACTGCCATTAACAGATCATTTGCGGTGGTAACTCCTTTTCCATTTATTTTGCATTGCAATGTTCAGTCTCTTTCCAGAGCACACCTGGACCAGGTAGGGTATTTCCACCTGTGGGCTTTCTGGTCCATGGGGAATGTTTTTTAACATGTGCAATAAGTCTGTGTAACAGATTTATACAGTGAATCCAATTGCAACACTAAATTTCCAAACATTAGAATTTTCAACCAGTATTTTCTATCCTAAATTTCCCAGCTCATCATCTTACTCTCTCTGTAAGAGAACAGAAATGAAACCACATGTTCAACATGCCAACATGAACAAGCGAGCAAATCACCTATGAATGAACAGACTCATAGCAGAGTTCTCTGCTAATGAAAAGGGAGAATTTCCTACAATCAAACCATAAAGTATCACTTCCCCTCACCCTGTGGAGAGAAAGACCCTGGCACAGAGTTTTGATCCCTGGGCACCCAGGAATATCTTCCTTCAGGCTCAGCTGCCATCATCCAGTGGTAACCTCAGGACAATGACATTCTCTTCCCTTTCATGACCTCTTCCATTGATGGAAGTGCCACAAGTGAAGGTTTTTTCTATACTCAAACAAGTCTCAGCACTTAATATTGCCTTCCAAAGCAACCTGCTCCATTTCTTCCCTCCTCCTGGCTGCCTCTCTGAGTGGCCATGGCTGGATTTAAGTTGCGATGCCCAGGGGCAGGGCAAAGAGCCAGGAATAGAACTGTCCTGGGTAAACAGTGTGAGAAATAGGTTTGGATTTACCTCTTCATGATTAACCATGTACTAAAATAAATTTGGAGTTGCAACAGAGGAGATCAGGCACTTGGCAGAACGTGGGCCCTCCAGGTAGGAGCTACTATGTAAATGGCAGTGTCCCTGGGTGACATAGAGAAGAGATGACATACGTCACTGATACAGCATAGCAAGTATCCCCGTGCCACCCAGGACCCGGGGCCAAGTGCAGTGCACTCCATCTGCCCCATCTCCAGCAGTGTTTGTGCAGGGCAGGAGTGCCTTAGATGGGGGGGAGCTTGGTCATAGTCTGCCAGAGCTCATCCGCGTGTCCTGTTGGATCCGCAGGAGCCAGCCCAGGGCTCAGTGCCGGGCACGCGGATGAGGCTCTGAAAGCACCAACCACCGCCTCGCTGTTTCATTTCTCTTTTGTGTCCGTGCTTCTGTCTGTTCTCAGGTCTCTGGACCACAAGGAAGGACATCACACTGAAGAAGAGCAACCGGGCTGGTTGAGCACCTGTCTCCAAAGCAGAACAAGCAGCTGGAGACTCCCAGGTGCCACTGTGCAACACTCATGGGGAATAGTCCCAGCTTGCTGAAACCCCTTGTAAAGTAGGTATTCCCAGGAGCTTCCATGTGTACCTGGATGAATGAGGATTAGGGAAAGGGGTTGTTTGCCAAATCCCAGTTATATTGCAGAAGCAAAGGACTAAGCTCATAGTAAAAGTTTTGCAAGTGACTACTTTTGCAAGCATCTGATCCTAGACCAGCCTTGGCCCTGAAGAGGGGAAAGAAGGGGGGAATCATAGAATCATTGGAAGGGACCTCTAGAGCTCATCTAGTCCAACCCCCTGCACACGCAGGGTCACCTAGAGCACGTGGCACAGGACTGCGTCCAAGCGGGTTTGAAGACATCCAGAGAAGGAGACTCCACAACCTCTCTGTTCCAGGGCTCTGTCACCCTCACTGGTAAGAAATGTTTCCTTAAGTTTCTGTGGAACATTGGATGCTTCGGTTTCTGGCCGTTTCCTCTAGTGCTGTCGGTGGCCACCAGTGAAAAGAGGCCAGCACCATCCTCCTCACTGCCTCCCTTGAGGTACTTCTAGACACTGCTCAGGTCCCCTCTCAGCCTTCTCTTCTCCAGGCTGAACAGGCCCAGCTCCCTCAGCCTCTCCTCACAGGGCAGATGTTCCAGGCCGCTGATCATCCTTGTAGCCCTGCGCTGGACTCTCTCCAGCAGCTCCACATCCCTCTTGTACTGTGGAGCCCAGAACTGGACACAATACTCCAGATGCGGCCTCACCAGGGCTGAGTAGAGGGGCAGGATCCCCTCCCTCGACCTGCTGGAGACACTGAGGGGATCTGGTCCTCATGCTTTTAATAAGAGTGGGGATTAGAAAACCCAGTAAGCTTTTCTGTGGTCTTCCTCTCTGCAATATTTCTATATTGAAGGTCTGTTCTGAGTCGCGTAGCAGTACATGGCATATTACAACACTTAAGAAGTGGCTGGTGCTGTTCAGATGCTGGTTACACACAGGCTGCCGTTGGGTTGCTTCATAATTGCTACACCAAGGTATGGACCAAGTCCCGCTTTTCCTGTTTCAACTGTAAATACCAAAGACGGTTGCAGGACGTTGAAGTGAGTTGAGAAAAGTCTGGACAAGTCAGCCAAATTCTGTTGTCACTTACGTGTGCGCAGTTCAGAAGCGCGGGGGCCTTTCAGCGTGCAAAGGGCAGTGTTGCACACTGCAGCCTCTGGATGGGAGATTATTTATTTTCCGATTTGCCAGAAATATCTCTTGAGTTCCCATTTCCAGGGAATTCTGCAAGCTGAGCCCACGACTAGCCT